ATAACAGTACCAGTATGTGAGAGAAACTCTAGTCGGGCACTGGTGAATTATGCTTGGGTCAGGGAATTGGTTTTTGAAAGCAACATGTACATGTTAAACTTAATTTAAATATCATTTGAAACATGTGCTGCATCAAGATACACATCTGTCAGAAGCACGTGACTTTCTGAGTCTCTTGTTTCCTTCCATAAACAGAATTATTATGCCTGTAATGGGCCAGGATACTCGTGCTTTGTTTCACGGTACCATACTTGTTTCTGAAAATACTACTTAAAGTTGTAAAATGCATTTGCAATTTATAGCTATTTACTTTCAGAATTCCTTTCACGTGCCTTTGTCTCTGTGGTTCCTCAGGGGGATAAAAGATTTTTAAACAGCATTATTTCCACTGTGCTGCAGCTGAAATGCGATATTTGTTTCTTGTGGTATTGCCGATACCGCATATTTTGGATATTAAATAAATAAATAGACTTTTCAAAAGACCCAATTAAATCATGACTTTTGGCCAGACATTTTCAGATATTCACTAGAGCAATTCATTCGACACATCAGCTGATTTCTGAATCTGAAAAAGATTGTTTCATCGATAGACTGATACCTTTGCTTCTGTTCGGAAGAATTATTGAGGAGGCGGGACATTTCTGAACTTTAGACCGTTTGTGTAATAATAGCTTTAAATGTGTTTTTGTTTCTTTGCTCTCCCCTAATTTCCAAATACCATTTTAAGAAGTCAGAATTGAAAATAGCTCTTTTCATACCTGGACTGTTTTACTAGAATAACAAAATTCCTGGTGAAATACAACAAATAGTCCAGAATGTGGTCAGATTAGAAGCCTCAGATTCTTACAGGCTGTTTTTGTTAGACCATACAATTACAATAAATAGGTTAGATACTCCAGCGTACACCTGGATATACAAGATAAACGTAGGCAGGCAGCATGTTAAACTCGGCCATTTCATGTCTGAGTTAAAGTGCGCTCTCAGGCATTCGCTAAGATTGGCGTGGAGAGTGCACTACCAAATATAGCAGATGCCACCAAACATACATTTTGAAAGAGTGTTTTTGCCTGCAATTGTTAGAAATTGTTGCCTTGCGTATTTGACAAGGATAAATCATATTTAATTCTGATGGAACAAATGCATAGGAACTGTGATCGCTGTCATCTCTTGTCACATCAGCCTCCTGTCCCTACGCACCCTGAATGGATGTTCTTTCTAACATCCTTCTCGAGAGCTCTTAGCCTGCATGTTAAATAAATAAATTTCTAGAGATTAACAGCAGAGTAAAAGATGTATTTGTCCTATGTGAGTATTTTTAAATCAAAATGTAGTTTTTGAAGTCAACAATCCCAGCATTACTTACACCTTAGTGTCAACCCTCAATAATTATATGTAATAGGAAACCAGGAAACATATTTTCCTTGGGATATATAGCAGTTCTAATTGTAGTTTAATTTATTCATTTGCAGACATTTTAGTCATCAAATATACTTGACCCATTATATTTCTTTTTTTTTTCCATTTTTTTAAGCAACTTTATTGAGGTGTCATTGATGTACAAAAAACTGCATGTATTTAATGTGTCCAGTGTGCAGGATGGTGTGGGGGGCAGGGGGTGTTATAGTGCTCTTTTCAGAAAATATTAAAAATAGGAATAAAATAACTAGTATCAGCATATACTGAACTGTTTCTCAAAGATGGTACTCGGTGCTTCACATGTACTAGCTCACTGAATCCTCAGAGCAGTCCCCCGCGGCGTGGCAGGTAATATCATCTTTATAGTCCAGGTAAAGAAACACAGGCTCAGAGGGGCTGAGTAGCAGCCCGGTTGCCGTCGGCTGCAGACCCGCACCAGGTGTTAGACCTGGGGTCAGCCAGGCCTGGGCTCCGCAACCGGGTACTTGAGTTCTGGCTGGGAAAGAATTCAGAGCCAAGACCCAACTATAAGAGAACATTTATTTGGTAAATCACAGAGGTAGAAAAAGTAATTCCTAGAAGAAGTGGGCTTAGGAAACTAGTTATAGAGGAAAAGGAAGGGCCCTTGGAGCTTGGGTGTGAGGAAGCTAACAGGCCTGGGGCGGGGGGCGGGGCGGGTGAAGCAGTGGGGAGGAAAGGGAAAGGCAGAGGCCTGGGCCTGCTGCGGTCATACACTGTGTGCCCCGGTGTGGGGGCAAGGCCCTGCGTCCTCTGTCCTAAGGGTTTTAAGGGGGAGATTTTAGGGGGATCCCAGGGGAAGATCTCAATAGAATATTCAGCAGCTTCCCAGGTGTGTCCTTTCGGGGTCTGGGCCTCCACTGGTTGATTGGCCGGCATCAGGGCGGGGGGCCATTATCCGGTGCAGCTGGTCCTGAGGTCAGCCTTGGGGTCCTTGTCTGGTTTTGCTGCTTTTCTGGGCCTGGAGCTGAAATACAACTGAGGCCTAGATGGTATCTCTAGGGAAGAGGGGTTAGAGGGTCCAAACCACAGGACCGGCGATAGGAGGAACGGTCACCCTGGGGACGAGTTCCCACCCTACCGTTGTCCTTTGCTAGGCGCCCAGGGCTTTGTGCCCCGGTGACCTTCTGTACCTGGCCCATCGTCCTTGCTCTGCTCTTGTCTAACTAACTGCCTAACACACAGTGACACACAATTAGTAAGTAGTGGAGCAGAGATTCCACCCCAAAGCGTGGCTCCAGGGCATGGGATCTCAACCAGTACATTGCAGGATATTTAACTCAGTATTTTAATTCTAATATACATAATTTGAAATATCTAAGTCAAACTGTTTATAATTTCAACAACATACAGATAAGTTTATAATAGATTTTAAAATACTCTGGAGTTAACATCATCAAATCTAGATGGGTACTTCAATTGTAATTCTCCTTAATTTCTTTATTTTGACTTTGTTAAAACCTCTTCTTTGAAACCTTCCGTTAACCTCTGTGGCCGGCTGTTCCTCTGGTCTCCTCCTAGGCCCCTCCCTCAGCCCTCAGCCCTCAGCCCTCAGCCCTCAGCCCTCAGCCCTCAGCCCTCAGCCCTCAGCCCTCAGCCCTGGCCTCTGCTGCTGCCTCCCCCTCTTGTTTTTTATTGAGCTCATTCAGGTGACTGGTTAACAAAACAATACAGGTTTCAAGTGCACAGCTCAACAAAACATCATCTGCACCCTGCATCGTGCACTGTGGCCCAAAGTAAAGTGTCTTTCGGTCCTCAGTTATTCCCCCCTTTGTTTGCTTCCAACTCCCCCATTCCCCTTCCCTCTGGCTATCGCCACACTGTTTGTGTCTGTGTGTTTTGCAGATATATCTGCTCCTTTCCACTCTTAAAATGTCTCTAAACTGTTGCTTTTTTCAGTCCTTACACTGCTCTTCCTTGATCTTATCCAGGGGTGGGGAGACTTTTTTCTGCCAAGGGCCATTTAGATATTCGTAACATCATTCGAGGGCTATACAGAATTATCAACTTAAACATTAGCTATGAGAAAAGCTCCTAGATTGATTGAATGTGAGTCCCACCTGTAGTTGCCTTGGCAGGGCCCGACCAAATGATTTTGCAGGTCGTACATGGCCCGAGGGCCGGGCGTTTCTTCACCCCTGAGCTCGTCTAATTTTAATTCCCTGTGACTTCTGCTGTCACATACGATATTGACCTTCAGATATTTTTTCAAACCTTTTCTCAATTCTCCAACTGCCACACAACCATTTCTATGACGCTGTCCTTCATCTCTTAACATACTGTACCTAACAGCTCACAGCATAATTTCTCCTGCATCAAAGCAGATCTTATCCTGAAATGTCTTGAGCAAGAGTAGTTTCTTAATTTCTAGCTAAAGTAATTTGATATTTTTAAAAAATTTTTTCTTTCACTTTTACCCATCACATAGCCTTGTTCAAAGGACATGAGACTATATGGGAATGCCGAACAAATGAGAGTATTGTTACTGTAATTTCTATATCCAATAACCTATCAGATATTACTGATTTGTCCTGTGTATTATGCTACGTGAAGATTTAGAGTCTAAGTTCTGGAGTAAGATGGCCAGGGTTTAAATTCCTACGTCTCAGTCTCTTTATCATCAAAATGGGGATAATAACTGTCCATACCTAAGGGGATGGCCTTTAAGGATTAAGTCATTTAGTGCCCATGAAGTGATATGCTCAGAGCAGTGCTTAGCACGTAATAAACACTTAATGAATGTGCTCTTTCTCTCAACTTTCCATTCCTTCTGCCAACTTCCTAGTTCATACTTTAAAGTTTTTGAGGGCCACGGCCCAAAGACTTGAGAGAACACAAGAAGTCATCCCTGCTTTCATTTTACAGAACAGGGACTTGGAACCTGCCAAGAATACCGATTGCGAACAGTTTCACCTCGAGGACACGGAGCTCCAGTCTTTTGGACTCAGCTCCTCACTATCTCCCTTCCCTGGCCTCCCCCACCCTTGTCCATTCGACTCTATCGATAGCCTTAGAGGTGGTTTCCAACTCAGACAAGCTCAGGGGTTTCTTGGCCATAGAATTCAAGCCGATGTGTGTTACAATCGTGATTCCCCAACTTAGACCTATAACCTAATATTTTAGCTTGACTTTCTGCTTTTGTTCTGCATTAAAGTTTTTCGTACAACCAACCTGTTCAACAGTGAGTAAGCCAAGCACGTCATTCGGGAACTCGTACCTCATGGAGTTGTCACAGTGCCTGGCAAAGGGCAAGCCTTTAGCACACCATCTGGTAGTATCATCATTTTTAATATCACAGCGACAGCTTTACTCCTTTCCATGTGTATATTTTATGAGTCAAAATATATATATAGCTAATCCTGAGGGCTGAGATTTGTTGTGCTATTTAATGGAGTGAATGGTGAAAGGCTGGACTGGCTATGGAACATACACTGGCCTGTGACCTTTTGAAATCTTGTCGTATCCTATGAAATTAAGCCCAGAGCCTCACACTGTCAACTACTCAGCACAAGGAGCGGTGCTCTGACTTTGCCCTTCTAACCGTTCCGATGCTGGTCTCTTCTTAGGGCGCGAATGCTCTTGTCACATACACGATCATCAGTGGAGCTGATGACAGTTTCCGCATTGACCCTGAGTCTGGAGATCTGATAGCGACCAAGAGGTTGGACAGAGAACGCCGTTCCAAATACTCCCTGCTGGTTCGTGCAGATGACGGTCTCCAGTCCTCCGATATGAGAATCAACATCACTGTCAGTGATGTCAACGACCACTCGCCCAAGTTCTCCAGGCCTGTGTACTCTTTTGACATCCCAGAAGACACAACCCCAGGTAGGGGCGTGCCCTTCGGTGTATTTTGCAAGGATCATCTTTGACTACAGTTACGGACTATGCTTTAACTACCCTTGATTAGTGACGAGTTTTGACCCTATGCTACTAGGAATAAAAATGTATATGCTGGAATTTTGAATCTTTTAATTTACCATCTTTGCTAAAATTTCCAAGCAAATTGCTGGACTTTTGAGAGAGCAAATGAGGCCCTTCATCTGATGACTAGTTACAGATATTTCTGTTTCTGAATGTATCTGTGACATGGATTGTTAATTTTTCTGGCAGCCACAGTTTTTATTTTATTTTTCCACTTTAGAAATGTCAATTGTGATTAAGCTGCTATGTATAAAAAGAGCAAAGAAAAAAAGCACAAGAAAACCTGTGAAAAGTGGTTCTAACCCTTACTAGCTGTGTGTCCCAGGACAAGTTAACTCATTTCTCTTAGCTTCAGTGCCTCCTGCTGTAACACAGAAACGATAATGCCTGTTAGAATTAGGGTAAAGGTTAATTTAGAATGTGTGTGTGAGTTTGCTAATGTGGGGCTTGAGCTGTAGCAGGTGCTCAATAAATGTGAGTAGAGTAAGAATCCTGAATTATCATCTTGCCTCTTGCAACATATTATGCCGTGATTGCTGGGTTTGGGTACGCGGTGTCTATGTGTTTGCTTCATTTCCATTATTGGAAATTCTTATCTAAAATTGCAATTTGGTTCTGAATCACATTTGGAATGTGTTTGCGTAATAAGGCATTTGTTTTGGAAGCGCATTTGACAAGGAAGGAAACATTTATGGGAGACTCTTCACTCCTCACTGCAGTTTTCCCCCCACCCCCCCCCACCCCCAGATGAGTTGTGCGTGTTCGTCGTAAAACCCGCGTCACATTTTTTTCTTGCTTAATTATAGCGTTGGCCATCTGAGCTGTCAAGTGGTACCTCTTGGGCATACGTCTGTATCATTACTTGGAACCCCCAGTTCCTGACACTAAGTTCCCTGAATCCATCAATATGTGGTTATGAATTGGTAGTGCCAGGTAGAAAACTGATGTCAGAAGTAGTGTTAATACGCAGGGTCGTTACACTGCAGCGTGAGATCTGCTGCACACCCAGTATGCTGTATGTTTTGTTGATATTTGGGAATGTTGGCATCTGTGTTAACACAGAGACTGGCTGAATGTTGCATTCACTATATTTTCATTGTGATTCTCTAATTAAAATATTTCAGTGCGCAAATAATTTTTTGGTGTTGTATATGTGTTCTTTTAGTAATACCTATGTTCCGTTAATTCAGGCTGTTAATTTATTCTTTTTGATAGGTTCTTTGGTGGCAGCTATTTTAGCTACGGATGATGACTCTGGGGTGAACGGAGAAATTACATACAGTGTGAGTGAAGATGATGAAGATGGCATATTTTTCCTGAATCCAGTCACTGGAGTCTTTAATTTGACTCGCATATTGGATTATGAAGCACAGCAGTATTATATCCTTACTGTTCGAGCTGAAGACGGTGGGGGACAATTTACTACCATCAGGGTTTATTTCAATGTACTAGATGTAAATGACAACCCACCTATTTTCAGCTTGAGTTCATACAGCACATCTTTAATGGAGAATCTACCTCTAGGATCTACTGTTCTCGTGTTCAATGTTACCGACGCAGACGACGGTATGTATTTTGTTTTATGTACTTAAAAAACTTGGTTAAAAATGTTACCGGATTCATAGTATATTTATTTACATTGTTCATCTGTCATAAAATTGCCTTTTGTGAATATAGGTCCAAAGTTGAGAAATAGTCTACAATGTAGCTTACAGAGGATGAAACAAATTCAATAATTTATCAGTTAAATTATTTATAAGAGTTAGGCAGCATGCATTGTTATTACTTTATAAACTTTACCATCTTTATCTGCCTCCCTCCCCCGTGCGTGGCAGTCTTGCAGTTTAGTAATGCAGAAGTCATAAAACAGCTTTTTGGTAGGTTTTTGTTAGAAAAATAAAAATATTGACTTACATATATTATGTTCATGTAAAATGAATAAAATTTGGAAGCAAAAGTAAAACCAAAGTCTTCAAAACATACTTAGAAATGTATGATTAGTTTTATATTTCTAACTGAAAACTGCTAATCCTATTCTGGCAAGCTTTCACGCTTCCCCTCAAAGGACAGTCTCAGGGCTCTTTAACTTACGCTGTAAAATCAAGTTGAGATTTTTCATTAAATCTAGACGTCACATGTGTTTGAGTCATATATTGCAAAAGCATTCGATAAACTTTTTTTTTTTTTTTTTTTTTAATATGACTCCCCTGGCCTTCCTTCTAAGACCTCTTTTGTAAGGACACAGATCAGACACTATATTAGTGATAACATTGTGCAGATTATCAGTCTTTAACTGAACTGTTTGGAAAGTTATTACCATGTTTTCCCATCCATTGGATGCAACTAAAGGTCCTGTCAGCAGAGAAAAACAAGGGACATACTTTGAAGAGGAAATCGGTCCCTCGCCGGAGGATATGCCTAGTGACACGGGCATCTCAGCCTTAATTTAGAATTTCCTGGTTCTCTCTGACCTGGATGATTTATGTAATCACGGTATCATTCTGTTTCAACATTCTGCTCTATACTTAGTTTCCTTTCAGGAGCACCTAGAAATGTCCCCTAAGGAGATGTGGGAGGCAAAAACATAGCATTTTAGGTTTCAATTCACAAAATTGGAAATGCCTTCTTTAGAAATTATGAAGTCCTTTTCGAAGCTGTCTCCTCTTATTCAAGCAGTTAATATTGGACATATGACTGCATCTGTGATAGAAAATAAAAGATGGAAAGTAAAAAAAAAAAGAAAAGAAAAAGAAGTGGCTATAATACTAATACCGCCACTATTGCTAGTCATACGAACAACTGTAACCCACATTTGTCAAGTGTAGCGTTTAATATGCACCAGGCCTGGCCTAGGAACACTGCGGACTCTATTTCCTGCATATCAGCCCCGCTCTGTGAATTGGCTCCAAATAGACATTTATAAACAAGTGAGGTTACTCTCTGTTTTGGAAGTTGATTTCTCTATTATAACCTTAATTCGTTTACCTGCCCCCTGGCTATGAATATTTTCTTATTTGTCCTTGTGACTGACTGGTCCATTTTGTTCTGTGGTGAAGGGTTTTCTGCCACGTTTCTTTGTGATTTATTTCTTATGGGTTAGAGAGGGCCCATTGTTTCATAGGATTGTGCACTCTTCTGGGATACAGTTCATGTATTCTCATGCCTTAAAATGTAGGAAACTGGGAAAATAACAAATAAGAAACTTTCTTTGTAAAAATATGCTGGGATAGTCCATGCACATGTACACACAAACATCCATTAACCATTGACTTCAAGTTGCTTTTCATAGATTTTTTTTTTTATCCCCTTTAATTGTGTTGGGGAAAAAAAAAAAAAAATTCAAGCTACATTTCCCCATTGTTTTAGTTTTGAATACTTTTATCAGTGTAATTTCCTGTACCTTGACCTAAAATGTAAGACATAGTTCCTACTCTCTCTGAATCCCAAGGATCATGATAAGACAAGGGTAACCTTGTTTGTTTAAAATTGCCAACTCAGTTACATTAAATAGTTCTCAAGGTATTTTGCCAACAATATTGTTTAGACTTTCTAAAATTAACATTCATCTTACTCTCTGCTCAAAATGTTCCTGAGGAGGTAATATTGTCATCTTAGATGAAAAAATTTCATATGATAATAAATTTAAGATATTTTGTTATCAATATCTACATTTTCCAAGAGGTTTATTAACCTAAAATTTTAGGTTATATCATCATTTAATAAAAATCAAATATTTTACTGTTTTCACAAGGTACTTAGTGTACATATTAGTCTCAAGGCTTCCATGCACACAGTTAAAAAACTATTTTGAGGCAAACTTATAAATTGAAGCTTCATGGAAACATTCTGGCTTTGATAATTATTTCATTACTTTAGGAATAAACCTTACATTCTTCAAAATCTTGGGGAGTCACAGGGTGTTTTGAGAATAAAATGATTGTAATTATTGCTGAATAAATTCACCTCTGTATGCATGGTACACAATGGGGGTCATTTGACCTCTGAGTGGTTTTCACATTGCGAATAAATGCACACATTTTGTAACAGAACTATTTACCTAGAGTGACGTGCTACGTTTCCCGGAACTGAACTGTTCATGAGACTGAAATAAAAACCCCAAACCCCCCAAAATGCAACGAAACCACACATACACAATAAAACTGCCAGAAAGAATCATGTAACTAAACCAGTCTCAGAACATTGAACACAAATGTTGGAAATACGGACTGTTTTAAGTTTGAGGATCTGGTGGGCCATAAAAGCCCACTAGATTCGAGCTTCAATGCTTTGAATAAATTATGGACACTTAAAATAATGTATTTACTGTTTCACGATACTAATATTTGATGCAAAAAACAGAGAAAAATGGCCTGAGCTCTTTTTCAGAAAACTGCAAACGTTCAGGGGAGAGTTCAGAGTTTCAGGACGTCCACATAGGTTTCCTAGATGGAGAGGGCATGCCCGACGTCACTGAGGCCTGTCCGGGCGGCAGGCGCTTTCCTTCCCGGGAAGGACACGGAGAAGGCTCCCCGGGCCTGGGATTGCAGCAGGAAGGTTCCAGTCCCGGCGCTGAGAGCTGGTTTTTGGGTGGTGGCTCAGTGTTTTGTGCAGAAGTCATTATATTGTTATATTTATTTTCTCAAAGATAATGATAGTTATCAGTGTATTTTTAATATTATCTAATATACTTGTCATTATGAATGTCACTATGTAATCAAATTTTTCTTTTTCATAATTCTATTTAAAGTTACTCCACCAACCTACCCCGCCAAACTCTTTCCCTAAAAAAGAAGCTGTTCTGCTGTTTACGTGGTGGCGGTGAAGTCCTGGTCTCAGGTCCCCGTGGCCTGGGCGATGCGGTTTGCCCGCGGCAGCGCCGTGCACAGGGCCCGGCGCGGGTCGTTCCCGTGGACGTGCTGGGCCGGCACTTCGTAGCCGTGTGCAGTTTTTCCGTAGTTTTCATTTCTTTTGGGCATGAAAGATTTTATAGGCTTGCATAGAACTCAATTTTAAATCTTGTTGGTATTTTCTTTATCCAGATGTTTTCACAACTTTTCTCGATAATAATTGTGTCTGAATTTGTGCCTCAGAGAATAAGAATTTGGTGTTCACTGATGGATTTAGATATAGGAGATGGAAAAAATTTCCTTAGAGAGTAATTTGATTTAAAAATACATATTAAATATATATATATGATCTTTAAAACATACATATTAATATATTAAATGACTTTAATTTTAATTATTCATATATATGCACATACATATATATGCGTGTGTGTGTGTATAGATGGATATATATATCCGTCCTTAGATGTTTTTGGACCGTATATCATGGTGCTTTTCTTCCCCCAAACCTGTGGAATTCTAAATCAAGGAGCTGAAGTAGCTGTTGACCTTGTTCTACGCAGATCTTAAAATTCTCTTTATCTCCTGCTCTTGAGTTGACTGTGGCCTCCATTAGCTTTATTTATTCACATTTTCCCTGGTCCTCAGCGTTTTAAGTATTCTGAGCTTTATAACCTCTGCTTTGTTCACTTGTGACTAGTCATAAACTATAAAGATTAAAAGCCACAACTCATAATGAGGAGGAAAACCTACCTTTTCAAAGTTCCCCTGAACCCTTGTTTATCTTAGACATTTTTGTAAATAAGTCAGTGCCTGAAAGTTTCTTCATAAATATATTTTTCTCTGCATCAATATATAGATAAAGAACATTAGGTAGAGACCATAAAATCACCAGAAAAAAGTAATTCTAGCATTTTTTTAAGAAGAACAGGCAGGCCTTACCGAGTAGGAAAAAAAATCCTGTTACTCAGCTAAAACTTGCTTTTGTTATGAACTTGACGGCAAAAGAGTAACTCAGGTATTCATAGAAGCCTGAGAAGGTATTTTTCAAGGGGAAATAAGGGAGAAAAAGGGTGAACAATTTTTTCTAGAAGACTCTTGGAAATAGTGAACATCACTTCTGACACCTGAATAGCTGAAATTAATTTCAGAAATATAGGAGCTATTTGTAAGCAATTTATTAACTCAATAGATTTTCCCTGGTATAAAATCCCAGAATATAAAATATTTATTAAGGATGGGTTTTCTAGGTACACAACATATTTCTTGGCAAGTCTTTTAATATCCTACAATATCCCAATATCTTTATGATAAAATATGGAAATGGAAATGGTATGATCAGTGAAGAAAATACTACTTTAGGTCAGGAAACCTTATTTTTCTTTGTTTTCATTGCTCATCTGTTTTTTGCCTGTAAGTTATTTACTAAAACAATCATCTTTTTTAGAAAAATTTCTGCACTCAGTTTCTGAAATGGGGATTTATATATCATTTTTTAAATTAAAAAAAAAATAACACGTTTCTAGGAAAAATAGATAAAATACTTTACCTAAATATAACCCAATAATAGTGTGAACATTTATATTTGGAGCCTCTCATGTATAATTTTACTGCTGACATTTCCTTTAAATAATATTTTTAAAACACATTAAATGTACATAATAAAATTGAGAGAGAATTATTTTCACAAAGGCCATTAGCCAGGTGCCTAATAGGAATTAAAAAGTATTTATTGGTCTGACAAGAAATGTAAAAGTAGACTTCAAGTATCCATGACTAATGCCGTACATTAGAAAATTTTATTACCCTTCTCTGAAAATTGGTGTCGGCCTCAGTAAATTACCGAAGTTATAAATTTTGTCCTAACAGTATAGAGTGTGGCACTGTTAAGGTTCAGCCCTCAGGAATTATGTGATAGAAACAAGGAAGTGTATAGAAAAATATACACTCTCTGGAATATTTTTTTCCTCTTTACTTGTGTAATTTAACATTTCAACACCGTAGTAAATAGCAAACAGTATATATATCACTTGTTCACCAGGTTGTAAACATCTTTTCAGATCAGATGTTAACAGGAGAAGAATTACGCATATGTGTTACTGACAAAGAGAATTAACTGCAGCTAAATCATCCATAAGGCGTGTTTGGAGGCATCATATATCAAATATGCAGTTTCATATTATAAAACTTTCGGTACACCTTAGCTGGCAATCGGCGCACCCTGAACATTTAATTTCCCCCCTTTCATTTCAGGCATCAACTCCCAGTTGGCTTATAGCATTGCTTCAGGCGACAGCCTCGGGCAGTTTACCGTTGACAAGAATGGTGTGCTGACCATCCTAAAAACTCTGGACCGGGAAAGCCAGTCCTTTTACAACCTGGTGGTGCAGGTGCAGGACCTGCCCCCGCCTCCGGCCCCCAGGTTCACCAGTACTGCTCAAGTCTCCATCATTTTGCTGGACGTGAATGACAACCCCCCAGCATTTCTTTCGCCTCGATTGACGTACATTCCAGAAAACACACCCATTGATACCGTTGTTTTCAAAGCGCAAGCCACGGACCCGGACAGCGGCCCCAACAGCTACATTGAGTACACGCTGCTGAACCCCTCGGGAAACAAGTTCAGCATCGGGACCATTGACGGCGAAGTGAGGCTCACGGGCGAGCTGGACAGGGAGGCGGTGTCCAATTACACCCTCGCCGTGGTGGCCACCGACAAAGGCCACCCGCCTCTCTCTTCGTCTGCCGAGGTCGTGGTCGTGGTGCTGGACGTCAACGACAACAACCCCGTGTTCGCGCAGGCTTTGTACAGCGTGGAGATCCACGAAAACGTGCTCACGGGGACAGACATCGTGCAGGTGCAGGCCGCAGACGGCGACGAGGGCACCAACGGGCAGGTGCGCTACGGCCTCGTCGGCGGCAACGCCGGCCAGGAGTTCCGCATCGACTCTGTCACCGGCGCCGTCACCGTGGCCAAGCCGCTCGATAGAGAGAGGACCCCCGCTTACCTGCTAACCGTCCAGGCGACAGATCGCGGCAGCACCCCCAGGACCGATACCTCCGCTGTCAGCATCGTCCTCCTGGATACTAATGATTTTGTCCCCATATTTGAGCTCTCCCCATATTCCGTCCACGTCCCCGAGAATTTAGGGGCGCTGCCCAGAACCATCCTTCAGGTCAGTATATTGAAGCAAATAGTGCGTTCTCTGTAAGGCCTCTGGTTTACTTACAACGTTCCTGCTACCCATCCCTCTGCCTTGGGTGCTTAACTGCAGATACAGCAAATCCTGAAAGGTTTATGCAGATTATACCTGTTGGCCTCCTTGTAGACGGAACATTACATTTCAGTTCTGTTCTCTCACGTATACTCATGTTGCACACATTCAGGTATTTGTGTATTTTTGAATTTTCACTATAGCAGGAGTATCTGCACAGAGTAAGAAAATACAGTGTTGTCAAAGTTTGAAAACTTGGTTGCAAACATGATTCTTCCTCCCCTCTTTACAAATTCGACTACCCCGATGAAACGGCTGTTAACATTTTTTAGAAGCCTTCCAAAAATGCTATGCATTGATTTTATGCCTGTTTTCACATCAGTAATACATACTACTCTGTACCACTTGGATTTTTTACTTGAAACTTAAAACTATGTCTTTGAAACCTTTTATTACTGGTATATATCAATGATTTTCAGCCGGTGTGCCATAAGAATTCTTAAAACATGCAATACCTGACTATGACCCCTTTTCCCTTAGATGGTCAAATAAAAAAATGACAACAGCAAACACAATAGTCTTCTGGTGTGAATGAATCAAAATTATACCTATTTTTTTTTTGTCCGATTGGCAAAAAAATGTAGTGCCGTAGAATTTTAGTAATTAGTTTATGTGTGCACTGAGATGAAAATAGTTGAAAGCTGTTGACGTATATGACTGTATCTTTTTTTTTTCATATATCTTTATTGATTTCAGAGAGAGGAAGGGGGAGGGGGAGAGAGATAGAAACATCAATAATGAGAGTCATTGACTGGGGATCGAGCCCACAACCCAGGCTTGTGCCCTGACGGGGAATCGAACCTCAGTCTCCTGGGTCATAGGTTGATGCTCAGCTGCTGAGCCATGCCGGCCGAGCTCTATCTCATTATTTTTAATGCTACATTTTATTTCTGGTGTGCATTGTGTCAGCGTTAGTCACATCCGTGGCATGTATTATACTCTCCCACAGGTGGTGGCGAGAGACGACGACCAGGGTTCTAACAGCAAACTCTCCTATGTCCTGTTCGGCGGTAACGAGGACAGTGCTTTTACTCTCTCAAATAGTGGAGAGCTTCGAGTAACACAGAGTCTGGACCGTGAGACCAAGGAGCACTTTGTCTTGATGGTCACAGCTACGGATTCAGGTAAGTCTGTTTTAACCTTGCTCGGTTGTGAAGAATATCTTCACACTCTGAGTAAAAGCAAGTATTTGTGTCTGCTATTATGTTACCTATTTGTTGAGGTTTACTAATGTTTGGAACTCCAATTGTGGCTATATAATTTATAGCGCTTTTATCACTTCATGAAATTAAATGCAAGTGGTAAGGGCTTAAGCATGTCACAAGCAAAGCTCTATTCCCTTAGGACAAAATGTGTCCTTGCTGGGTGAGCCGCCTGGGTGCCTCGGGCTGATCGGATACTCTGCCACTTGAGCCAGGAGGCATTTCAAGTAGCGTTGAAAACATCCAGGTGGTTCTAACCGGTTATGGAGACAAGGGAGTGGGTGCAGAGTTCTACTTAATTGGTCCTTGGGTTCTGCACAACTCAAAGTGGCTGTAATAGGCATTTGATGAAGCCCCACAGAGCTCCAGAAAGAGTGTCAGCGAGAGCCCCGGCTCTCATCCAGATCCTGGAGTAACGAACTAGCACAGGCACAGTGGAGGCAGTGCCTCAGCTTCCGTGCTGGAGACGGGGAGCACATGGGGTTGTGTAGCAAGTAGCATTAAAAAAATCTATTTTTAAATAGTAATATTGTTTACCATTATTTTGTGTTGTATATATTGACTTTTCATAAGTATGAAACACTTCTCATTCACAAATGAAACAATTAAGGATTTTCAAAGAATTTTTATGCCTTGAAGAAAGTAGGTATTGCTTAAATATTTGTTGAATAAGTGAATGATTAAGTGAATGAATCGTTGATTTCCAAAGTATTATTAAATTGTGGAATATTGTCCTTATGTAACATTTGTTATAAAAATCATCACAACTTAATATTAAATAACTTAATAATGTTGACATATTTTTTAAAAATTGTGTTGAAATTGTCTTAAGACATGGCAAATTTGTTGGAACATAAAATGACTGAAATTATGTGTGTGTGTGTGTGTGTGTGTGTGTGTGTGTGTGTGTATCTCCTCAGGTTGATGTGTGGATACTGACAAAGGATAATTCTGAGTTTTCAAATGAGTTATTTTTACTACTGTCGAAATGTTTTTTCCAAATATAATGAATTAATGTTTTTGTTATATATGACCGATTTCAGAGTATAATATTGTTTAATTTTACCACTTCTCCTAAAAGAGGAAATTTTGAGATTATGTGTAATGACAGACTTATGGTAAGTGTTCAGATGACAGTGCCACTGATGATTAACTGAGGTGGCTCTCTCTCTCTCTGTTATTTGCATTTACTTTTGGGAGTTTAATTTTCTTATGAAAGAAAACCATATTCTCTTTGTATTTTGTAATGTGTGTGAACGACCAGGCTACATTTTATGCAAACAATAAAATCCCGAAGAATGATGAACAGAGTGTAGCCTGGTAACCACCTAAAACCTAAGCCGCGCCGACCGCAGTGTGGCTCACTGCGTGTGCAGTCGGCGTGTGCCTCGCAGTCAGCAGGCACCCAGGGCAGCCTTCTCGTGGAAAATGCCACACGGCTCAAATCAATCCAGTGTGTCAACCGTCACCTGGAGAGAACGGGGCATGAAAATGAGGAGAAACTGGTAGAGATTCAGATATCTAAAGTCAAGGTTTTGTTACTGAAACGTCTCAGCCTCAGCTTTCCTCTCCAGTTACAACTGGAAACGTGGCCAGTACGAGGCACACACCAGTTCAGGACCTTTGTGGAGGCTGGGGTGGCTGGGAGGAACCAGAACCAGGAATCGCGCTCACAAAAGCCTTAAGGACAGTAAGACTTGCTGCCCAGAGGGTGTGTCACCTGCAGGCCATCCCGGTGGCGGCGGGATGTGACTTTGGAAGTCAGGGTGCAGTGTGGGTGACCGGGCCGGCCGGGCGCGGCCCGCAGCTCTCCGCTCTAGGTTTTGACTCTAGGACACTCTAAGTCCAGCCCGTGGCAGAGAAACGATGTGACCACATTGACAAGAGTGCCCGTCCTCAACCGAATGACTCGGAACCTTAAAAACCTTCCGTGCGCCTGTGCGGCCGGCGGGATATTGTGAAGTAAAGGGAATGTGGTTTCTCTGATGCACGGCCGTCTGCCACGCAGTGCGCCAGGTTTTACAGACACTAACCCGTTTCTACACATTAGTTCTTCTCATCCTCTCAGAGACTTAGGTATTTTTAGTTCTACTTCACTTACAGTAAACCCAGGCTCAGAGCCATCAGATAATTTGCCCGGGATTGCACAGCTAAGAAGTAACAGTAGGATTCAGACCCCAGCGCATCTGACTTCCAAGTTCAGAGTACACGGAAGCTTTTAGTGTGTAGGGAAAGGAGAATTTGAAAAAAATGTTGTTATTTCCAAAATTATTTTATTTGGAAAGGAAACACAGTAATGAGCTGTATACGATCATGAAAGATTTGACTTTGAGTCGCCTTTGAGTCTGCAGCCCACCACCCTGAACTCCCCCGGTCCCGTCGAATTGCCCGATTTGGATTCTGGCTCTGTCGTCATTTCCTCTGGTTCAGACTCGGGGCTTCACCTCTCAGCCTCCTCTGTACCCGCCTCAGGGACGGGGGTAGCGATACTTACAGAGTAGTTTATCATAAGGTTAAACAGGCCTATCACGTAGTGGAGACAATGATTTCAATAAGAATTGTGATTCATGCACTTTAAATATTTTAAAATCCTTAGAACTATTTTCCCTGCACCTTACTACACAAGTATTCTTGTTCAAACGTTAAGGACTGGTTTAAAAAACATGTTTAAAACTCGCAGTTTAAGTTTCACTTTATATGTTACTATATTAGGGATTTCTTTTGTGTGCCGGATATTTCTTTTCAAACTTCCAAAGGATATAATGCATAGTGAATGTTTAATTATTTTAAAAGAAAAAGGCCACAAATTATGAAAATTGTAGTTCAGCCAAATTATGGTTAGGGAAGATTTTGCGGGCCAGCCAGCAGACTTAACCAGCCCTTCTAACTCTGTTTCTCCATCAAAATGACAACACGAAAGGGACATTTTATTAGGAAAAGGAAAAGAAAGAAAGAGAACTTGAAGTTTTAGAGCTAAAGGTATTCCCTTGTGATAGACAGGGATGAGCCTGCGGTTAGGAGGAACTTGCCCAAGGAGATTCCATGAAGCATCGGCCTGAACGGGCCCCACGCAAGGGCCAAGCGCCGCTTCAGGGAGCAGCCTGAGCTCCTGCAGCCATCACCTTGGTCCCGAGGAAAATCGGGTCCTAGGACCCTTAGTACAAGGGCGAGTAAGAGAGGTACAGCCCTGACTTCTGCGAAGGACCGCTGCTATTACATGAGAAATGTGAAGACCAGGTTTGTGTGCGTTCTGCCCAGTCTTGAGATAGGAGAGCTATGAATTCTGGAGCGTGAAAAATTCAGATTATCAGTAAAATGAAGGCATTTGATGTTTGTCGCTCACTTAGGTGTGGTGCTAAGGAGCGCGCTCGAGATTCAGTGGCACCGGTGCCTTTGGTCACAGTATTTTGGCAGCCCTGGAAATTAGAGAGTTGATTGAATTTTGTCCCAAAGTACAGGTTTTTATGAGTGCCGCTTTTTTTCGAGGTGCCCTGAAATGGACTGGTGTTTCTGAGGCACGGGGGCGAAGTATTCAATTAAGTGTCTGAAGATCATTGACTATGGATCATGTAGAAAGCAACTAGAGGTTGTGAGGGAAGTTGGGCTAGATGACGGTAAAGTCAAGAGAACTCCTGTGTGCCCGCGATTTTATGTTCAATTCTGTTGCATGCTTTTGGTCCAAGCATGAATAACCATTTTATGGGAGACTGCGAGGGGTTCAGATATCAGGCTTCAGAATCTGCCGTTTAATCTTATATTCCAGGAATGAAGTCTCTGACACAGGATGTAAAATACATATTCACTGCTATGATTTAAAAGTCAAATTGGTAGATGACATGAGAAAATTCAGGAAAAATATGGCAGCTTTTAAATCCCAGATGCCACGTTTTTCTCAAATTTGCACTGTTCTAAGAACCAGGCAAATATCAAAGCGGTCTAAACAGAAAAGTTTGACAGTTTTGTTCCTTAGCTCACAAATCACTTTTCCTTTGCTCTTTTCAAATTCTTACCTGGTGTCAGGCCAAAGATGGGTCAGCTTTGCTAATATGGCACAAACTGACGCAGGAGTTTTTGTTGTGGTGGTGGTGCTTTTTTCTTTTTATCAGCAAACCTCTAAATCTTTGAATACTTTTTGGAGAAAATATTAGCGTTGCACTATCATCATATTGTTATTTACTGACTCCATGGCTCCGGAGTAGCACATCTGGAAACTCTCTAGCTACTCCTGACTGCAGCCTCCAGTGAGCTACAACCACACTACCCTATGTGTGTGGGACTGAAGGCTGTGTTGCTAAATATCCAAGCCAGAACAGCGTACCATAATTCTACCTCGTTTATTTGTTTTTTCCTGTAGGATTAAATCACTAAGCAACAACTTAATGAGTTGAGACTACAACTCAATTAAAGCTATTTTGTTTAACTATAATTTAGAGTATGCTAGTTTGCCTACATTACTGAACTGTTATTTCTTCTAGAAATGTGGACCGTACCAAGTAGAAGTTCCTAGGAGGCTAAGGCTTCAGCCTGGTGCAGTCAGGCAGGTACTGCAGGGAACCCAGCACTCGGGTTCCTCTCAGAGGGGAAGCTGGCTCTAATCCACTAGTGGTTTGGCGTTTGGTTCCCAAGAAGCCTTCCTCACATGACTGTTTCTTACCATTTTCTCATATGTGCAATAAATAAGATAATGTTACTAATAGAGTAAGTTGCAGGAAATAATCAGGGTACCAGCAGTTTGCTTTATAAAAATTAACTCAAAGAGCTAATTTACAAAATGGAAGTATATCCTAGAGATAAATATATAGCTTTATAGTTTTAAAAAAAAGAAGGTTCAACCCTCCCCCTCCCCGGCCATTTCTAGCTACGTGACCTTGGACAAATTACCTTCATGTTCATATCTATAGAATGGAAACACTGATTCCTAC